TGTAATTGTGATTACATTCTCTGCCTCCAATATGTCATTATGTAATATTATTAATGCATCATGTAAACACTATAAACATTAGAGAAATAAAGCAAATATAATTAGACAGAAAGGATGCTCAGTATCTCCTCTTTCAAAGCTGATTTAATTGTATATTGTGAAGTTACTAAAGGATCTACAAGTTAAAAAGCAGCTAGAAATAATAAAAAGGTAAACTACTCCTTTCTATTGTAGTTACTAATGTATATCCTCATTGTTATTTATTATTATTGATTATTAGTGTTCATAATCTGTTTCTGTGTCATAATGTGGATGTGCTAACTGGAATATTTTGTTTTGGGTTCTGATTGTTTAATGTTTGGTACATACACAATATTAAATTAGTGAAAGCATTGATGGAAGGACTGTGTTTGTTGGACTGGACTTCACTAGAACTATGTTAAGCTGCTTTGACATCATCTACATTGTGAAAAGTGCTGTATAAATAAACATGAAGTGAAGTGAATTGCAGTGTTTGTGCTGTTTCAGATACTGAGCAACATCACCATCTGCTGGCCTGGACAATACAGCTGCCCCATACACACACAACATGTCAACAATGCAAAAGATTATTTTATTTCTGTACATTAATGTTGTGCAAACATATCTTTAATTTTATACTGAGACAGATGCAGCTCTGAGTTATTTAATAGGCATAATAAAGTTATTTAATCACATTTAAAGGTCTGGATCAGGGCACTAATACCTGTGTGTTCTCACTCAAGACCAAAGGAAATATAATTTCTGTGCTCACAATAACTTATTTGAGCTTCTGGCTATTTAAGTTTACAGTGCTAGATTAATTATTTAAACTGTAAAATAAAAAGACAGACATCATCTGACCTCTGCTGGTTGGTTTTTATAGTATTACATCTTAATGATCTAGATTAGAAAATTATATTATTTATCAAAAACACTGTGAATCTGTCTGCTAACAGTGGCATATACAGGATAAAATGTGCTCTTTTATTTTAATGTATATTGTAACATCTAAAACTGTTATTAAAATGTTCGTCACAAAGTCTTGACAAAAACCTGTAGGGTTAATAATAATAATAATAATAATAATAATACAATTTATTTAAAGCTCCTTTTAAGAAACCCAAGGTCATTGTACAATACACACATACACACACACATATATATATCAATTCAATAATTTAAAATTAACTGACAGTATAAAAATAGAGAATAGAGGGTTGCATTATTGGTGTTTACATCTGATAATTTGTATTATTAGCATTAGTATGCCTCTGGAAATAGATTGATTGGTTAAATTTTTTTTTTTACATAATCTCTTTATTTTGTAATAAAAGTATGATAAAAGTATAATGACCAATTCTCCATCTACAATGACTTTCTATTATGAGTAAAATCACTCACAACATAATACCACAGTCACTTATTGTAAATACTGTAACACACAATGCTAAAGTGTAGTATATTTTATATATTGTAGTATTTACAACACTTTCTTAATGAATGCTACTGCATACTGTATTATTAACTATGGCAAACTGATAATGTGTACTGTTGTACTCTAGTTATTGTGAACTGTGGTGTATAATATACCATATTTGTCCAAAACTGTAGTATTGGGACATTTATTAGATGTGTCATTAGCCTAAACTATATTAAGCATCAGTAGAATTACCACAACAGATTAATTCAGGTGTTTTACTATAGTATGCTTCAGAAACACTGTAGATTTACTATAAATTACTGTAGTGTTATTATTTTTATCTTTTACTTGTACTGCTTGGGGGAACACAGTGTTTGTACAACAGCGACCAGAAAAGCCATGCTTGTTTGTTTCAATGGGCAAAAGCTATAGGAAGTTGGCCAGTTATAAGACACTGTGGCCAAAAGTGTAGCTCTTATAACTCCAGTGTTTAAGTTCATATTTCATAGTCAACGAGAAGGCGAGCCGCGGTGACGTCACGCATTCCAGAATCGAACGCGTTCTAAAATTCCAAAAGGCGCGCGCTGCAGGTGAAGCGCCTCAGAACTCTTCATCGCCTGCTACGGTAAGCTGAATGCACTCTGACTTGATCAAGTTTTACAACAAAAAACATAAAATGTTTGATTTCCCCGAAATAAATAAGATTGACTCACACTGTTTAGATTAAATAATCACCATTATCGTCTAATTAATTAATTCGATATAGCTCACTCGGAGTTTGAAATACTATAAAGTCACACAACATATGAGTTTAAATGTTCATATTTAATACTGTATTGTATATTAAATAGTAAATGACTGTTGTAGATAATACTGTTGATCATTCTACTGCTCAAAGTGCCCTTATTTGTATACATTTGTCATGATAAATGTTATAAAATCGACAAATATTTGTACATGCCAAGAAAACAAATGTTTTTAAGCTCCTTAAGGAGCTGAACTGAGATCACGTTTGAAGAACAGGCTACTGCAAAAATGCTTTTCTTACTTACATTTTTGTCTTGTTTCTAGTCCAAATATCTAAAATTTTCTTAAATCATGAAGCATTTTCTAGACAAGCAAAATATATGGTCTTGTTTTATGAAATAATTTGCCAAAATTAAGTGAGTTTTCCTATAAAGCAGTCAAAATAATCTGCCAGTGAGCTACACAAAATAATCTTCTGTCAAAAGAAAAACAATATTATTTAGCTCACCCCACTGGCAGATTATTTTGATTGCTTTAAGGAAAAACTCACTTAAAGACTATTAAACAAAAGTGAAATATTAAACACACCGACTCATTTACAGTCACACAATCCCCACTTATAATCGAGATGACCGATAATGAAGACGTATCTGAAACTCAACCATGACTGAATCATAATTATGAATGCAGAAGTCTAATGTGAGTTGTGTTTTTCTCTCTAGTAAATGGATCGTGACATTCAGCAAGCAGAGAAAATGGCTTTGAAGAGCAAAGAGGAGATCAAGAAAAGGATGAGGGTGATGTTTCCGTCTTCTTCGGTAGATCTGGAGGATTCGTCCTTTTCAGGTCCTGGAGATAATGGCAAACTCCCCTCTCCGTCCTCCCGAAAGCGCAGATTTCCATCTATGCGCCGTGTTTTTGGCAAAATCCTATCGATTTTGATGCCGTGTGTGTGTTTGTCGTCTGAGGAGGAGGATTCCTCCTTCGTCAGCGACAGGAAAACTGATGCTTCATTCTCAGCTGCAGTCCACAGATCATCCGAAGGTCATCCAGAGAATGATCTGCCTGCAGGCCAGCAGAAAGAAGCAGTTGAAGGTTTGAGAATATTAATAATTCACTGCTTTACTGGAACATCTTATTCAGCTCAGCTTCTGTCTTTAAAGTCTAAAAGGTTCAACACATGTATGTCCTTAATAGAAACTAAATGACTCTGTCTGTTATCCACAGCTGTAACTTTATCCACAGCTGTCCTTGAAGACCCCTCCACCATATCTGACATCAACGAATGTTCAGAATTACAACAGACGCCGACTAACCTTGATGCAGGTAAAGACAAATCACAGACCAAATCAGGCCAATCACAACACTGAATACTGCATGATTTAGAGCGCTTCAGTGTGCTGATGTGATTGGCCCATGAACATTTCCTGCTTGTTATCAAACTAAGAGGCAAGTCCAGCATAACTCCATGTTGAAACAGCTCTCATATCATTATTGATCAATACAGGGCTCTTTCTGGATTTTCAGAAGCTGCAGAAATTAACAATAAACAGCAAATACACTGGCACCATGATTCTAGGATGAATTAGCATGATTTTAACATGAATTAGCATGTTGTTAGCATGTTTCCAGTATGGATTAGCATGTTATTAGCATGAGTCCAGTATAAATTAGCATGTAGCTAGCATGTGTCTCCACTACAGGTTAGCATGTTTCCAGTATGGATTAGCATTTTGTTAGCATGTTTCCAGTATGGATTAGCATGTTGTTAGCATGTTTCCAGTGCGGGTTAGCATATTATTAGCAAAATTCTAGCATGGTTGAGCTTGTTATTCGCATGATTATAGTATAAATTAGCTTTTTCTTAGCATGGATTAGCATGTAAGTAGCATTATCCTAGCATGGGTTAGATTGTTGTTAGCTTGATTCTAGTATGAATTACACATTGTTAGCATGTTTCTACTATGGATTAGCATGTTGTTAGCATGTTTCCAGTATGGTTTAACATGTTAGCATGTTTCCAGTAAGGATTACCATGTTGTTAGCATGTTTCCAGTAAGAATTACCATGTTGTTACCATTTTCCAGTATGGATTAGCATGTTGTTAACATGTTTCCAGTACAGGTTAGCATGTTATTAGCATGTTTCCAGTATAAATTAGCATGTAGCTATCATGTCTCTATCATTAGCATGTTTCCAGCACAAGTTAGTATGTTATTAGCATGATTCCAGTATAAATTAGCATGTATCTAGCATGTCTCATCATGAATTAATGTGATAATAGTATGAATTATCATGTTTCCAGTATGGATTAGCATGTTATTAGCATGATTCTAACTTGAATTAGCATGTTGTTAGCATGTTTCCAGTATGGATTAGCATGTTGTTAGCATGTTTCCAGTTTGGATTAGCATGTTGTTAGCATGTTTCCAGTATGGATTAGCATGTTGTTAGCATGTTTCCAGTACAGGTTAGCATGTTATTAGCATGTTTCCAGTATAAATTAACATGTAGCTGTTGTCTCCATCATGAATTAGCATGTTTCCAGAAATAGTGTGAGTCAGTGGTGAGCAGTCAATCCTTCTGTAGTGAACTCCTCATTTCAGCTTAATGAGTTCAGATCTGCTCCTTCATGCTGTCTAAAAGCCTGCAGATCGATCATTCTCACTGCTCATTTTCTTTCCAGAAGAAGCTGAGGAGATGAAGCCCTCTCCTTCTGCATCTGAACACCAAACCGCTGATCGAGAGGCTGAGGGGGGAAAAACACCTGAAGACCTCTCTTTACCTGAAATCAGCGAATGTTCAAAGATGCCGACTGAACTTTATACAGGCAAGACAAAACATGAAGAACAGCTGATGTGACGATCCACATATCTGTGTGTGCGCTCTAATCTAACCACAGAAATCTGTCACACTGGTTCATTATTACATCTGTTGAAGGATCTCAGTCTGTGTCATGAACCATTTCAACTGAGCTGATCTGCAGCAGTGTTTATAAGAGCGGCTGGTGTTCTTTAAGAAGTGCAGGATACTGTGTGTGATTTAATGACTAAACTCCATCATTTATCTTTCTGTTTTACAGATATCTCATGCATTTATGATCTGATTCGGCCTCAAACATCCTGTCAACAACCTGGGTAATGTATTATATTATACTGTATTGTGTTACATTGTGTTGTGTTGTATTATATTATATTAAATTATATTATATTATAGTATATTATATTTCATTATAATTATTATATTATAGTATATTGTTATATTTTATTATTTCATTCTATTTTATTATATATTTATTATACTGTAGTAAATTTATTATATTAAAGTATATTATATTTTAATATATTTTATTTTATTTTATTATATTTAATTGTATTTTATTATAATATTTTATATTTCATTATATTTTATTGTTCTATTTTATTATAGTACATTATATTATAGTATATTTTATTATATATTTTTATATTATAGTATATTATGTTTGTTGTATTGTATTGTATTATAGTATATTATAATATAGTATTCTAAAGTACAGTATAGTCTAGTATAGTATATTATGTTATATTATATTAGAGTATATTATAATATAATGTTGTATAGTCCAGTACAGTACAGTATAGTATAGTATAGTGTAGTATAGTATAGTGTATTAGTTAACTTGTTTGTATGATGTTTCTTTAGGCTTCCTGACGTCGAGGCCATGTTCAGAGAGTTTTGGGTTTCAGACCTGACGACTGAACTGAAGATTGAAGCTGATGAGCCTGAAGAACACTCTCCTCTGGGGTAAAGACACTGTTCACTCATTTTATAGTGAAAGACTCTAGAAAAGACACGATATGCGAACGGCCCCTAGAAGGCCTCCATCATTTGCGAGCTCCAGTTGATCTTCTTGCACAGTCATGCTGGATTCAGCTGATTTGTTGATAAATGGGTTGCAGAGCTGTTTCTTGGCAGTTTGTGGGTCCTTCACTGGACTTTTTCCTCTTTGCAAAGAAACTTGTTAAAGACGTCTGTTTCTTACTGCTTTAGCTGCTTGTGGGGTAAATTAAAGTGCTCAAGTGGCCGAGATATAACCGAGAGAATAAGGTCATTTTCAAAATAAAAGATCCTTCAGACTCAGATAATAAATAAAATGGAAATAATTAATGATTTCTAGTGCAGCCCATTACCAATTGATGAACAGACTGGAACTGATACGGGTCCGCGGCCTGGTGCTTGAGGATCACTGATTTAGCAGATGCTTTAGTTTAAAGCCTTTAGACTGTTTTTAGTCGTCATCTAACCAAAACTGTTCATTTGTTTTCCTCAGCCTTCCTAATTTAGGCAACACGTGCTACATGAACTCAGTCCTGCAGTGCCTCCTGAGTATTCCCCCCTTCCAGCACGATGTGTTTCTCAGCCAGGAGGTGTGGAGAGATGAAGACATGCTGCTCAGGTACAGAGAATAAAACATGTTCTGGTTTTAATGAGTTTGGTGGAAAAACAAAACCAAAAATACCAAACAAACATGTGTTCTGCGCCAGCTCCTAATGCGCTGTCCAAATCTGAGCGTTTGATTGATTCATTTAATGTCTTGTACATCCACAGAGTCGGATCTGTTGTGTTTTATTAACATCTCCAATCCCACATTTTGTATTGACTTATTAACTACACCTAATCCACACCATAAAAACAATAACTATGGTACAGCTCACAGAAATGGACGCTTTGTATGTGAGCATGTTCAGTAGCTGAGCTGCATCCCTTCTAGCCCTAAACCAATCTACCCGGGGTGGAAGCCCCTCCTATTCTGAGCTTCCCCAAACTACCTGATACCTTCTTGACTTTGTCCATCCCACAGTAATTCCTGTTATATTGTAGAGCAGCTCAGACTAACCCAGTCATCTGTTTCTCTCCAGTGTGTTTTCAGACCTGTTCATAAGCCGGCTGGACAACAGCAGCACCAACCTGAAGAAAAGGCTCTTGAGGAAAGTGAAATGCTACATTGAAAATGCCAGTAAAGTCTTCACTGGAGACTTTCAGCAGGTGAGCGCACCTTAAACCAGACTCTTCAACTAGTCTGTCATGTTAATGCTGGTACACACCTGCTTTTGCTAGACCAGCTCTAAACCTGTGTGTGTTTCTCCTCAGGATGCTCACGAGTTCCTCATGCTGTCCCTGTCCTGCCTGAAAGAGGAAGGCCAGATGCTGAAGATGTCTTCTCCCACATACACTTGCCCCGTAGCCAATATGGAGTTCAAGCTTGAAACGGAGCGCACCTGTGTCAGGTAATGACACCACACTTCCCCTTGTGCATGCAGATTTAGCATTTTATACATGCTTCAGCATTTCAGTGATGAACTTCTTTTCAATGTGGTTTCAGTTGTGGTCTCCAGAAGACATTTACTGAGGACGCAAACTACATCTCGCTGGTCCTCGGCCAGAATGCAAGCGTGTCAGACAGCCTGCAGCAGTACATGAGCGTGAGCGTCAGCGCTAATCTCAGTATACTGCATGAGCAACAACATGTCATTTCTGATGGGTTTCTCTCTTTCCTTCAGCCGTCTTCAGTTGATTGCATGTGCTGCAACTGTAACGGCACAAAGGCCTCTGTGACCCAGAGGTTTTACAGTTTCCCAAGGTACGACACATTATTGATCAGCTACTAATCTAACTCAATAACTAAACTCGAGCTGCTCTCTGATTTCTGATCTTCTGAATCCCTCTACAGAGTTCTGGTTTTGCTGGTGTCGCGCTTTGATATGCTGTCTGATTGTAAGCTGAGGAATCGACTGAGGATTACAGAAGAGTTGACGCTGTCCTCTGTTAAAGGTACGCCTGCTGTTTATTAAACATTTGACTGGGCACAATGGTTTATTTGATGACAGAAAGCGCTCAGCGGTTTATAGTTGACTGCTCACTGTTGTATTGTATTGTGATGTGAATGTAAACACCTGCTCCAGCTTTCTGTCAGTTACTCTATTAGCATTTAATATCAATATCTTTTCATTTAATGTCATATTTTAATGAAGCTTCTAATTTTAGATTTGTGACAGTTTTGCTAATCATTTACAAGTGTATTTGCTGCTATTACGGTCTTATATTAAAGGATTTCCTGGGAAAGAGAGACAGAAACGTTTTCCCCAACTGCTGCAAGTATTACTCCAATACTTGGTGGTTGTGGTCTTCGAATTTGGGAAATATTTGGGAATTCTGTGACCAATCTGAAGGACAATCTCAGTAAGAAAATGTACCTTTTGTGTTTGCCTTGTGTTCATCAGGAGAGATCAGAGAGCAGCCAGAGTCTGATAATCAGAGACCAGCGAGCTGCCAGTCATTTCTCAAGAGAATCCTGAAGACAAAGACCAAAGTTGCACCCCAGATACCCAACGACAAGGCAGAGAGCAAGCAAATCATGACTGACTGACTGCCTGACTGACTGCCTGACTGACTGAGTGACTGACTTATTTGATTGATTGATTGGTTGATGGATGGATGGATGGATGGGTGGATGGATAGATAGACAGACAGACAGACAGACAGACAGACAGACAGACAGACAGAGAAGGATGGATGGATGGATGGATGGATGGATGGATGGATGGATGGGTAGATAAGATAAAGTACAAAGATAAAGACATAAATAAATGATAGATAGATAGATAGATAGATGGATGGATGGATGGATGGATGGATGGATGGATGGATGGACAGACAGACAGACAAAGAGAAGGATGGATGGATGGATAGATAGATAGATGGGTGGATGGATGGATGGATGGATGGATAGACAGACAGAAGGATGGGTAGATGGATGGATGGATAGACAGACAGACAGAAGGATGGATGGATGGGTAGATAGATGGATGGATGGATGGGTGGACAGACAAACAGACAGACAAAGAGAAGGATGGATGGATGGATGTGTAGATAGATAGATAGATAGATAGATAGATAGATAGATAGATAGATAGATAGATAGATAGATAGATGTAGAAATACATAGATGGATGGGTAGAGTGATGGACAGATGTTCAGTAGATGAATAGATAGATGGGTAGATGCATACAGTTATGTATAAATGGCACATTAGTAGATAAGGGTAAACAGATGACAAGAAGAGATTGATCAAGCTTTAAGACTGAATAAGAGTCATATAGAAGAGTCTAATAAATAGAGAGAAGGTTCTAGGGTTAGCTGGATGGACGGATGGATGATTCACCATTAGACATGTGGGAGCTTGATAGATGAGTATGAATGGACAGCGGCACTTTTCTGTAACACTGTTGACTGTTATCTTATACTTGTTTCCCCCATCTTCTACATGTTTCCTAAACAGCAGGAAGAACCGGCCGACACCAGGGTGGAGTATAGACTCACTGGAGCAGTGTCACATTTAGGAAGCAAACTGTTTTCTGGTAGGAATTGACCACACATGTTGAATTGTCTCATTTGTTCGGTGATTGAGCAGTTGAGGATCCACCCGGCCACAGAGTTATAGTCCAGTTTCTGTGTTGCAGGACACTACATAAGTCACATTCGGGATCCAAGTGACGATGGATGGCTGCGTTGCAGTGACTTTTCCGTCAGGAAAATCAGCTGGACAGAAGCGTCCGAAGAAATAAAGAGGAACTGCTACATGCTGTTCTACATCAAGCGGTGATTAAACGCTCTGTGTTTTTAACATTCAGAATGGGCTCTGTGCACAGCTAGAGTTTTAATGTTGTATATCTAACAGGCAGTGAAGATCACTGATTTTTAAAGAAATCAGATCTTCCTTGGCGCTGCCTGGCTGAAAATTAAAAGTTGTGCATACAGCCCATTTCATTCTCACTTGGTTCCGTCTCTTGCTGTGGGATAAAAACACTGAAATCCTCTGTTGTTTCTGTAGATGAGCAGCAGTTTGTAGCCGACAGTCCTGAAGAGGTGGAGAACAGCAGACTGAGCTTCAGAAGATCCAGAGTCAGAAGATTCTGCCAGATACTTGCACCAAAACCCCCCTGAGAGCTTCAGAACACACATGAAGATATTTTGGATTAAATCAGAGAGCTCCTGACCCTCATATAAAGGAAACATTCATGTTACTCCACCCTTGCTGTATATGGAGGGTCAGGGGACAGATGAATGAAAGGCTGAACAGTTTGGAACTATATGAGTGCAAGTAAATGATGGCAGATTTGATGTGAACTGTAACTTGAGCACTGCAATCAATAAAAATTATTTTTCCAATCCTCGCAAACTCTGTCAATTATTTACAGAGCTCTGAACGCTCTCCTTCCAGTGCATCAGCATATTTGAGTGTGTCTGAAGTATTAGGAATGAAAGTGAATGTATGCCTGTAAATACACTCGCCAGGCAAATGACAGACTCTGTGTTCCACATGACAAAGATCTGAGTTTAAATATTTGGGTATTATTATCACACCAAACTTCATAGGATTATATGAAAAGAACTTTACCCTTTTATTGTGTAAACTTAAATCTGATATTCAAAATTGGAGGATCCTCTACCTGTCCCTGGCAGACAGGGTAAACTGTTAAAATGATAGTTCTTCCAAAACTATTGTGTTTCAGTCTCTTTAGTTTTTTATGGGATGAAAAGACTTCTAAGGCCCCGTTTACACTAGTGCGTTTTAGTTTTAAAACGGCGTTTTAGAATGAAAACGATCCGCGTCCATCCGTTTTACCCAGCGTTTCTGAACTGCTCTCCGTCCACACCGAAACGCTGAAATCGCACATCACGTGACCACACACACACACTTTGGCAAGCGCTGCAGCCCATCTACCCAGATGAGAGCTCTGCTGGTCGGACTTCTCATCAAGCATCTCCCGCTGGATCTAATCTCACTATATTTATTAAACGTGATATTTCATTCATCTTGTTGTCTTTATCTAACGACATATTCCCTGACTTTGGTCATTGGAATCCATTACTTGTTTTTAGGTAACGTGTTTTGGCTGAGCGCAAAGATAAGTTAATGATTAATGTAACCACGTAGCCTATTCTGTATATTGACTGATCGCTTGCCTTTATTTCCTATAATGTATAAACTTATTGTATGTTATACTTTTATAATGGCCATTATCGATTATTAAAACTGATATTCAGCAAAAGAGAGGGTATGTTTCGTATTTTCACTGAAATTGAAAGGAGGCAGTTATCGGCTCCGTTTTGTTACAAATATCCACACAGTGAAGACGACGCTCATCTTATGCAGCACGACGCCTCAACATTTCTGCTGTCTGTTTAGTTGTTAATATTAAAATAAAAATAGGCAGTTCCTTATATCAAGTTTACATTTTATTGTTGAGAAAGTGAAACAACGTAGCCAGGGTAATGTGAATGAAGTTATAAAGTACACGTTCCCTGTGAAGATTGACGCGTGTCCTCGGTATGTTTTCCATATCAAACTGAGAAGAAGAGATGCAGCCTTGATCAAACTTGCGAAGTCTGAACTTACACGGAGAAGATTCAGGACTGAACTGTGTGTTAGGCTACTTAATATTGAGGAAAAGCCCCAATCAGAGAGGCGAATGTCTGCAGCCCCGCCTCCGTTTTCAGATGTCTCAGTCTTTCCCCATCCACACTGAGACGGAGCAGCAGCGTTTCAGAATGAAAACGGCCTCTCCAGCGTTTTCGAAACGCTCCGTTTTCGGCGCTCGAGAACTCCGGCGTAGTGTGGACGGATGGCGTAACCGTAGCAAAACTTATGCGTTTTCAAACTAAAACGCATTAGTGTAAACGGGGCCTAAGATCCAGAAGGAGTTCCTTGAGAAAAATAAGGGTGATGGAGGTTTAGCTCTTCCTAATTGTTTATTGTATCACGGGCAGCTAATGTTCAAAACTAGTTTATTGGATGTGCTCAACAGGTGGCAAAGATTGGTGTGAAACAGAATCCAGATCATGCACAGCAACCTCCTTACAAGCCCTGGCGACACCTAGTTTACCTATTAAAACCACACAACACACACAAAATCCAATTGTCTGCTGCACTGTTAAAATATGGCCTCAGTTATGTCAGCATCTCAAATTAAAACAAGCCCTTATGCTTCAAAGCCAAATATGCAACAACCATGCATTTCCCCCTGCCATATTAATTCAATTCAATTCAATTCAGCTTTATTTGTATAGCGCTTTTACAATGTAGATTGTGTCAAAGCAGCTTCACATAAATGGTCATAGTAACTAGAACAGTTTAGTTCAGTTTTTTTGGTGTTTAAGTTCAGTTCAGTTCAGTTTAGCTCAGTTCAGTGTGATTTAATCATTACTAAAAGTTCAAACACCGAAGAGCAAATTCATCGATGCGTAGCTCTACCAATCCTGAACCATGCGAGGCAGTGGCGACAGCGGAGAGGGAAAAAAACTTCACCTGATGGGAGTGAAGAAAACAAACCTTGAGAGAACCAGACTCAGTTGGGCACGACCATTTTAATTTCTCCGCTGGCCAAAAGTCTTGTGCAGGGCTTCAGTCGCCGTGGTTTAGGCTGGAAGATGGCCTCAGCAAGACTCATCTGTCCCTGGAGCGTCGCTGGAATCAGACACATGTTCTCCACTCCCCACGACCATCAGCGCAGCAGCAGCTCAGGATATGGCCTGGCCCCGGATATGGAAACCTTGGGATCATCTCGTCGCTGGTCTTGGATCCAATCAGTGGCTCTGCATAATTTGAGGACCTCGGGATGAGTATCCCCAGGTGAAAATGGAGAATAAAGAGAATAATTAGCGTAGCTGCTGTTCATAGTGTATATAAGCAAGATGTAGGAGCCAGTGTGGAACCCGCTAGGTGATGCATTGAGTGTATGCTTTACTAAACAGATAGGTCTTTAATCTAGTTTTGAACTGGGAGAGTGTGTCTGAGCCTCGGACGTTATCAGGAAGGCTATTCCAGAGTGTAGGAGCCATGAAAGAGAAGGCTCGACCTCCTTTACTTGATTTTGCTATTCTAGGTACTACCAGAAGCCCTGAGTTTTGAGATCTTAAAGAGCGAGTTGGATTGTAGCGAGACAGAAGGTTGGTTAGATAAACAGCAGCTAGATTATTTAGAGCTTTATAGGTGAGAAGTAATATTTTAAATTCAATACGAAACTTAACAGGCAGCCAGTGTAAGGAGGATAAAATTGGGGTTATATGATCATATTTTCTAGACCTGGTCAGAACTCTGGCTGCTGCATTTTCTACTAATTGAAGTTTGTTAATAGAGGATGCTGGGCAGCCAGCAAATAGAGCATTACAGTAATCCAGTCTCGAAGTCATAAAAGCATGGACTAGCTTTTCTGCATCTGAGATGGATAGCATATTTCGTAATTTAGCGATATTTCTCAGATGAAAGAAGGCAGTTTTTGTGACATGGGATATATGGTTTTTTAAAAGTTAGATTGCTGTCTAATATGACACCCAGATCTTTTATAGTAGAGCTAAAGCTAACTTTGTATCCCTCTAACTGTAGATTGAGTTGTGAGATCTGCTGTGTACAAGATTTAGGCCCAATAAGTAATAATTCTGTTTTGTCGGAGTTTAAGAGAAGAAAATTGTTGGTCATCCAGTCTTTAATGTCTTTGATACACTCAGTTAGTTTAGACAGTTCAGACGTCTCATCAGGTTTAGTTGAAATATATAATTGAGTATCATCTGCATAGCAGTGAAAGCTGATCCCATGTCTTTTAATAATGTCTCCCAGAGGTAGCATGTATATTGTAAACAACAAAGGGCCTAAAACTGATCCTTGAGGCACCCCATACTTTACTGGGCTGACTTGTGAAGGCTGTCCATTAATATTCACAAACTGGTAACGGTCAGTTAAGTATGACTTAAACCATTGTAGAGCCTGTCCCTGGCACAGTCATGCAGTCATCAAAATACACCTTTGTTTGTTGTGAATTGAGTTGTCCTCTAGTGGCCAAAATTATATACCGTGCCTTTAATATGTTTTATTTCACTTGCCTTCACTGGATGCTATTCCTGAAGTCAGTATTGTTTCTCTTCAGTGATTCTGCTTGTTAACAGCATGTGTTCATCAACTGTTATGTTTCCATCCACCTATTTTATGAGCATTTTTGAGTATTGCATAAACAAATGTTTAAAGAGGTGGTCCATGACGATATCATATGTTAAACTTGAGTTGATGTGTAAAGAAGATGTGTGAACATAAACAACATCTCTGAATGTAAAACGCTCAAAGTTCAATGCAAAGGGAGACATTGGCTTGTACAGAGTTAGCTTAGCAAAGCCTACAGCAAACAAAGTTTGGGGACTACAAAAAAATTCATTCAGGTTTGTGAGATCACAAGTGCTTCAAGTTACGAACATTCACCCCTCACAGCAAAGGGGCGTGGTCAGAGGTGCTGTAATGTTATAGCAGAGAGAGCTAAAATGCCGTCTAAACGCTGCTATTTCCACAGAGCTCATTCGGTTTCTGTATTTAGTGCTTACAGTTTAATTTTAATTATGTTGCAGAGAACTATACAAGAAGAGATATAGCTAGCATTTGACAAAGGACAGCTTCCAGAATCTCTCCCAGTTCAGTGCTGGATTTGGCTAAAAACTCCTCCAAACAACGAAGCTGTGGATTGTGAGCTTCAACCTGTAAGTGTTTTTATTTGTTAAAATTGATCAAATACAGACACAAATTTTACTGTTAAAGGGTCACAAAACCCTTGAATACTTGTGTATTCACATATTTGTGTGTGTTGAGCATCCGTTAACACAATGTTAGCGCCTGTTAGCATTAAATGTGGGAAAAAATGGGATAATTTTGAGCTTTTGTCAGCTAATTTCAAATGATTTTTGGGGCGGATCAAAATAGGTGACGTAGCACAGAACTGCAAGTGCAAAGATGACTTGACGGTTTCTCATTATTATTCATAGCGGAGTTTTCCTAACCTATGAAAAGAGCCGGCTTTTTAATTATTCATGAGAGCAGGTGCTTTCCGAGGGCAAAGCAGACCCGTGAAATCCTACGTGGATGCCTGTGTAAGACGCGTCCACGGACCCACGGCACACAGTATTTAGCCGTTCATGAAGGGTCGTATGTGTTTGTTTCCATGATCCACAGGGTTTGTTGCATGTTTTTCCCTGTGATGTTGTCAGGGCCGACACAGAAAAGCTGATTGTGTTCTGCAAGCATTTTTGTCAGGAGAGCAGTACGAGAAATGGAGAATAGCAGACAGTATCCTTTATCAGGAGTTCATTCACATTTAGACAGATCGCTGTGCTGCTGTTCGCCTAAATCCTCCAGATTACCAACAGGGCTAATGGTTAAAATAGACAGGGCAAGAGACCTGCTGCACTGAGTCTGCATTCAGACCCGGGGATTGAGGGAGAAGTCCTCATCTATAGTGTTTATATGAACATCATTATCTTTATAATGATATAAATTGTGGTTGTCTGTATATAAAATTACAAATGACAAATGTAGCAGGGCATTAAATTACTGTTTATTTCTGTGCATTTTAACTTTGTAAACTATAAACTCATGCGTCTCCTCACGGTCTGGCTCTCATTTTGTGAGCTAACTGACAACAGTTGCTCGCTCCCTTCCTTCTCCCCTGCCCTGCTGGCCACGCCCACTCCTGCCCTTTGCTCGCGGAGCTCAACGCCCATTATCAAGCATCTTTTGAAAAAATTCTGAGGTGGACCTGAACCGAAAGTGGGGGGTGTAATGGCCCTTTAACGATATGTTGTAGCGAAGATGTAAACAACTGAAACTGCTTTATGGCACCGCTAACAATTTAGCTACAAATTCATATTTATCAGTCAAACTGCTGTTAACAGCCACAATCATCACCAGCGCTGCAGTGTCTCCCTATGCATATCTACCCATGCGGACGCTTTCCCTGTGTTCTACATCTCAAACTCGTAGAAGATATGAGATTGTTTTATATTACTTACACATGCTTATTTCGAATATATGTGAAAGACATAAATCTAATGTGCATCTTTGAGTGAAAACACAGCTTAATCACTTAATTAAATCACTTAATTACTGCATTAACTCCAACAATGCATTTCGAACACGCTGTACAGTAGAGACTATTGATTTAACAAAGAGGATATTTTTTTCTGTGCACATATTTCTGCAATCCGTTTGGGCTAAGCAATCATTAGTATCTTTATTAATACTTAACATTTCTTATTCAAATGTGACAAATACACTAATAACAGTATTCATGTACTAGTAAAACTATGATTTACATCCAATTCTATCACTGTTAGTCTTACTGACCACCACAATAATCAATAATGAAGTTTTAGTGGAAAATAATATGGTCATGCATTTTCATATTTATGGGCGTTACGGTGGCGCAGTGGGTAGCACCATCGCATCACAGCAAGAAGGTCGCTGGTTTGAGCCCCAGCTGGGTCAGAAGACATTTCTGTGTGAAGTTTGCATGTTCTCCAGGTGTTGACGTGGGTTTACCTCAGGAGCTCCGGTTTCCCCCACAGTCAAAACATGTGCTATAGGGGAATTGAGAAAGCTAAATTGTCTCAAATGTATGTGTGTGAACGAGAGTGTATGGGCGTTTCCCAGTGATGGGTTGCAGCTGGAAGGATATCCGCTGCGTAAAACATATGCTGGATAAGTTAGTGGTTCATTCCGCTGTGGCGACCCCTGATTAATAAAGGGATTAAGCCAAAAAGCAAATGAAAGAATGAATATTTACAATAGGAAATTTGTTAAATGTATTCATGGATCACGATCTTTATTTAACTTTAATGATCTTTTGCATAAAGTCAAAATTTTGACCCATACAATGTACAATAACATGCAATATAAGACATATGAGGTTTTGTGGTCTCACAGTCACATGTTTTTTTTATTAATAAAGGTTTTTGATGAAGGGTATGTTACTTTTCAACTACAAAGGTGTCAGGTACCAAAAAACAAACAAACAAATAAAACTACCTCAATTGCTTATTTGTGTGTGTGTGTGTGTGTGTGTGTGTGTGTGTGTGTGTGTGTGTGTGTGTGTGTGTGTGTGCTTTAAATTGTCAATGAAAAAAGTAAGGATGAAAAAATATATGTTCAAAAAAAGAAAAAAAAAAGGTAATTATTGACTTCCATTTTTTCTAATTTGGATATAAATATAAATTGGTTTTTAACATTCTTTAAAATATCTACATTTATGTTCAACGGAAGAAAGAAATTCATAAAGTTTAACCACTTGTATTAATTTTAGGATAGGTCTTCAGCTGTCATGGCCAATACAACACCTGTCTGTAATTATTAGCAAATATGCAAAGACATGATATAATATAATATAATATAATAAGATAATATAATATATTACAATATAGTATAATAATATAATAATATTGTATGATAAAATCAAATTAAATAATATAATAATATAATATATAATATAATGTAATATATTTCCCAGGGATGGGTTGCGGCTGGAAAGGCATCCGCTGCATAAAACCTGCTAGAAAAGTTGGGGGTTCATTCCGCTTTGGCGACCCCGGATTAATAAAGGGATTAAGCCGACAAGATAATTAATGAATTAACAATGTAATATAATATAATATATTATAATATAATAACGTAATATAAAATATTATAATAACATATAATGTAATATAATATAATATAATATAGTAATGTAATATAAAATATTATAATAATATTTAATGTAATATTATAATATAATAATATAATATATTATAATATATAATGTAATATAATTAATATTAAATAACAATAATACAATATAATATAATATTTATAATAATATTTATCACAACTAATTTCTATAAAAACCTTTTAGGTTGCCATTTAAATTGTACCAACACTGGACCCTCTACTCATGTAAATAATGCATCAAAAATTATTAACTGATTTTATAGACAATTTAACATCGACTATTGTAATGGACTGTAATGGAGAAATGGTGTGTTGTTATTTTCTGACTGTACCAGGAACAGCGCCATCTGCTGGCTCTACAACACAACACAACACAAACACACACAAAGCGAGGAAATGAAAGGGTTTTCAGCAACAGAAACTGAAACTGATGATAAGAGATGGCATCCGCTGGAAACGTTTCGGTTTGGTTATGTAAACAACGGAGGTATAAATAATCCGCAAAAAGTGGGGAAAACAAGAGTGTTAATCAACGTAGGCTGTTTCCTAGAAAACGCCCAGAGAACTATTCCCACAGCTCGACTAAACCAGACTAAATCGAAAGCTAAGAGAAAACTGCGGGTTGTGCTGGAAACTGCAGGAAAAATAGGACCTCAGTGTCACTACATGTAAGTACATCATCATCATATTCAGTCGTCAGATTGTTTGTAGATGTTTTTGGACCTTTGCAGTGTAAATCAGATAAAACACACTGAAGCTGCTAAATTATACAGTGAAGGACTTAAGCAGTAAAGGCTGTAATATTTTGACAAACTGAACTTATTAGATGGAAAATATATGAGCAACCTAATACTTCACTTATCTGACTGGAATAGATGAGAACAAACATGAATGTTGTCAGCATCCTTGCTAATCTTGCTTCACTCTGGCCAACCACAAACACATTTTGTTCATCTGACACTTTGTTCTCCTCTTCTGATTGATTTGATTTAGATTTAGCAACTCTATTGTACTATAAATGTTATTTCAGGTCCCCCTGATTAATAAAGCCAAAACCTGACAATAATGGAACTTTCAGCAACAATAGTCAGCAAAATATGCAGGTTGTGTTCAGTTCAGGGTTCATTATTTTCATTATTTTGTACCTCCAATTGATGACATGAAAATCAGATTTTTCACTTAAACTATTATTTTTAATCAAAAGTGGAGCTCATAGTGCTGGAAATTTTGGATAATTTTACTAACTTGGACCTACAGTAGACATGGGCCGGTATTAGATTCTGACTGTATGATAACCTTGGATAAAAAAATATCACGATTTCACAGTATTGTGATCACAGCTCTAAAACAGTGGCCTTGAACCTTTTTTGTCTGAGACCCCCTTTTTCTCCAGGAATATATTGTAAGGCCTGCTCAACATTTAATAATATTATCGCTCGTACAAGTTTGCAGTGACGATGACAAAAACAAAACAAAAAAGATTTTCAAACAAATTATTTGTTACTCTATCAAGACGTTCATGCACAAATAATATCCTAAAGTAAAACAAAGGCAAAACATCAGTGGGTTATTTGTTTTGGATACACCTTGCGGTATTTGGGATGATTTGTCTGCAAATGTCTCATTAATTTGGACATCCTCATGCATTTGTCAGCAAGAACTTTGGTGCAGATAATGCACTGTGGCTGGGTCAGGGCTTCTTTGCTTCGGGAAAATGAACCAAAATCATTGTTCAAGGAACTATCTTGGTATTTCCAGCATTTCGTGTTTCCAGTATTGCTAGCGAAGTGACCAAAAATGTTTGGAGCTTCCTCACCTGGGTCTAGTAAGCTCAGTGAGATTCCAGTGATCAGTGAGTCTTTTTGTGGAGGATGAATTACAAATTTGTCATTTTTTTGGTCAGCCAGGGGATAAAATGAACTAAGGCAACATGATTCGTCTCCTAATTGTCCACTGCTTAATTTTTTTTTAAAATATGACGCGACCCCCTACAGAGCTCACTGATAATAATAATAATAATAATAATAATTCCTTACATTTATATTGCGCTATTCTGGGCACTCAAAGCAGTTTACACAATGGGGGAAATCTCCTCATCCACCACCAGTGTGCAGCATCCACCTGGATGACACGACGACACACACCAGCTGATTGGTGGAGAGGAGAATGAGATGAATGGAGAATGATGAAGCCAATTATGATATGGGGAGGGTTAGGAGGCCATGGTGGGCAGAGGCCAGTGGGCAAATTTGGCCAGGATGCTGGGGTGAAACCCCTGGATTTTTAATGACCACAGAGAGTCAGGACCTCGGTTTAACGTCTCATCCGAAAGACGGCACTTACTGAGCAGTATAGAGTCCCCGTCACTATACTGGGGCATTAGAAGCCACACAGACCCTGCTGGCCTCACTAACACCAAATCTGGGAGCAACCTAGTTTTTTCTGTGTGGTCTCCCATCCAGGTACTGACCAGGCGCAGCCCTGCTTAGCTTCAGTGGGTGACTGTGTGGGAATTGCAAAGAGCTGCCGGCCCCTTGTGAGTGGGGACCCCCCTGTTGGGAACCACTGCTCTAAATTATATATTTTTTTAAATGTCTGGGTAAAACAAAACTACTTTTTCCCCCCATTGAACATCATATATTTTATTCTGAGAAACATTTATAATATTTTGTAGCAGTAAACATATCAGACTAAATAATTTTAATAAATCATTGACTTCTGCTCTTGTTTTACAAACACAGATTTCTTTACAATTTAATACAGCATCGTTGGATAGATTTTCTGCTGAAGATACTGTACTAGAAATAAAAAATAAATAAATAAAAACAATAAATAAAACATTTTACACATACCTTAGGAATGGTATAGCACAAAAATTTGGCGGTTTTAAAACCTTGACTTTTCCAAACTGCGATATACCTTGGAAACATTGGCCCATGCCTACTCGGACCTTTGAGTCTTGTTCACCAAGATTAACTTTTTTCAAGTCATGCTACTCTGGCCCAACCACACCTGCGTTTTTGGACCGCTGTCTTTGAATAAGATGTTAAACTGAGGCCCTGACTCTCTGTGGTCGTTAAAAAGCCCAGGATGTCCTTCGAACAAGAGTAGGCGTTTAACTCCAGCATCCTGGCAAAATCTACCCACTGGCATATGTCTATCACAGACTCCTAACAAACCCCATACCATAATTGCTCCTCTCCACCAATCAGCTGGTGTGTGGTGTGCAGTCTAGCCAACATGGCTGCTGTTGCATCATCCAGGTGGATGCTGCACACTGGTGGTGGATGAGGAGATTCCCCCATTGTGTAAAGCTATTTGAGTGTCCAGAAAAGCGCTATACAAATGTAAGGAAGTATTGTTATTATTATCAACAGCCACTAGCCCCATGTGATGTAACCAAGATGTAACCTTCATGTGTGGTCCATAGATGCGGCGTTGAAGACGCCATAACTCAGTTAGATTCCCCACTATGAGGTGCACAAATGCCCTGTAGTCTATTTGCTGAAGGTGCCAGCCAATTAAATCCACCCTATCTGTCTCTCATGCCCTCTTGGGATCTCTTTGTAGTCCTCATTGGACTAAAGAGATTCATTTGAACCACTAGACTTGGCATCATTGCAAAAATTCTATCTATGAAGATAACATTGGCATATATCAAGACAGTCAGGATCTGGAGGCATTTTCAGTCAGCAAATTGCGCTTGGAATCTGGGCCGGTCTATTCTCACATTATCCTGAGACCTTGGCCTGGTTGTGTGCACAAGGTTCCTACCGCTCCTTTTAGAGACCATGTAGTGAACCTGCAAGCTCTGCCTGTGGAGGAGGCAAACTCAGACCTTTTATTGCAATGTCCCATTCATGTATTACACCTTTATATTTATTATTTATTTTACTATCCCTAGAATAGACCCTAGATATTTCAGTGTATGCGAAAATCCAAACAATCAATCCATCAGTCATTATCTTTTAAAATGACTTGCACAGTGTGGTACAAACAGCCTAGTGTAGTGGTAAAAAACTGTCTGTATCTTCCCTCAAGCAATCAGGGATGACTGCTTTCAAAGCACCGCTAAATGAAGCTTCAAAAACATCTATGAATCTTTTGTTTTGAATCAGTGGTTTGGAGTGCATACCAAATGGCAAGGATAGGTGATTTCAGTAAATAGAGCTTAATTGGGTTAAAACTATTTCAAAACATTTAAAAAATGTAAAGGTTACTTGCATGGGGGTTAGGGGGGATGGGGTGGGGGATCTGTGTAATACCATAAAACCTGCATAATTCAAACAGTCAGACTGCTCAGTGGCAAATCAGTTTTTAATAATGGCTTTTTAAATCTTACCTGATTTTGGATCATGTTTACATGCTTTTAGATGTTTTAATGAAAGGGCAACGCATCACCGGGAAACACCCATACATTTACAGACATACACTACTGACAAGTTAGCTTACCCAATTCAACTACAACACATGTCTGAAAAGTGGGTGAAATCAAAGCACCCGAAGGAAACCCACGCAAACATGGGGAGAACATGCAAACTCCACACGGAAATGCTATTTGATCCAGCCAGGGTTGAACCAGTGACCTTCTTGCTGTAAGGCGATAGTGCTACCCACTGTACCACAGTGAGGCCCCTAGTGAATCATTTGCAAAACAATTGATTCCACTGTTTCAAAGCTTTTAAAAGCCATTTTTCCCATCACTACTTAAAGTTCCCGCCTATAATTTGTGAACAGTTAACCTAGAATGACCCCTACTGTACATACATTATAATTTGGGAATTATGTATTTCCAAAGTAAAGGCTAAAATGTTACTAACATGCCTAGTGGTTTTTATTTATTGATTACAGTTTATTGTTTGGTAAATTCATTAAATGTTTTGAGGTAAATGTGTTGAGAAAACATCATCCGTGATTATTTTGTCTCTTGTGAAGAAAGGCCTAGAGAGTCAAGAACTACCGGCACACCATTTACCTCGCAGAAACAGGCATCATCAACAGAAAAGGATCATGGAAAGTAAGTTATTAATGCACTATGTTTTTAAATGAATAAGCATCAATGAAATTTTAAATGTAATGGGTACCTTAAATTAAATGGAGAGGAGGATCCGGCCGATGGTTGAACTTAGGATCCAGGAGGAACAATGCGGTTTTCGTCCAGGCTGTGGTAGACTGGACCAACTTTATACCCTCACCAAGGTGCTCAAGAGTTTATGGGAGTATGTGTTTTGTGGACTTAGATAAGGCATTCGACAATGTGCCTCATGGCATCCTGTGGAGGGTGCTCTGGGAGTATGGGATCAGAGACGATCTGTTAAGGGCCGTCTCATCCCTGTATGAACAGAGTAGGAGTTTGTTTCGCATTGCTGGCAATAAGTCAGACTTGTTTCCAGTGCATGTTGGACTCCGGCAGGGCTTCCCCTTGTCACCAACTCTGTTCATATTTTTTATGGACAGAATTTCAAGGTGCAACCTTATTATTTGCAACCTTAGGTGCAATTCGTAGATAATGTTCTGTTGCCTTCATCGAACATGGACCTTCAGCATGCACTGGGGCGGTTGCTGCCGAGTGTGATGCGGCTGGGATGAGAATCAGCACCTCCAAGGCCATGGTGCTGCACCGGAAAAAGGGGGTTTGGCATCTCCAGGTTGAAGGAAAGTGCTAGCCCCAAGTGGAGGAGTTCAAATATCTTGGGGTTTTATTCAGGACTGAGGGAAGGATGGAACGTGAGATTGACAGGCAGATTGGTGCAGCACCACAGTAATGTACCATGGTCGATGTACCAGTCCATTGTGGTAAAGAAGGAGCTGAGCTGAAAGGCAAAGCTTTCGATTCAACAGTCAATCTACGTTCCTACTCTCACCTATGGTCATGAGCTTTGGGGCATGACTAAAAGGACAAGATCTCGGATACAAGCAGCCGAAATAAGTTTCCTTTGCAGGGTGGCAGGGCACACTCTTATGGATAGGGTGACGTGCTCTGACACCTGGGAGGAGCTTGGCTTAGAGCCACTGCTCCTCCACATCGAGAGAAGTCAGCTGAGGTGGCTCCTGGACACCTACCTAGGGAGGCGTTCTAGGCATGTCCCACAGGGAGGAGGCCGCGGGGAAGAACCAGGACACGCTGGAGTTACTATGTCTCTTGGCTGGCCTGGGAATGCCTCGGGATGCCCCCCGGAGGAGCTGGAGGAAGTGTTTGGGAAAAAGGGAATTCTGGAGTTCTCTCCTAAGACTGCTGCCCCTGCGACCCGGCCACGGAGAAGCGATAAAAAAAGAATTAATGAATGAAATGTACACCTTAAAATAATTTTTAATATTATTCTCTTTTTTTTAAGAGCTGTGGATGCAAAAGGATCAGCAGAAGAAGCGGAGGCTGAAGCTGAATGAGGAGGACCAGCAGGAGTACTTGGAGGAACTGCGGTCGCAGGAGGAGCAGCATCAGGAGTTGCAAAAGGATTTGCAGGATGAGATGCGGTTGCTGAATGAGGCTGCAGAGATTCAGGAGGAGGAGCGCAGGCTGGAGTTTCAGGAGTTTCTGAGGTCGCAGGAGGAGCAGGAGCGGGAGTTTTGGCAGGATGTGGCGGATGAGATGCGGTTGCAGAGTGAGGCTGTGGAGGAGGGGGAGGAAGAGAGCAGGCTGGAGTTTCAGGAGTTTCTGAGGTGGCAGAAGGAGCAGGAGTTGCAGGAGAATTTGCAGGATGAGATACGGTCTCTGAATGAGGCTGCGGAGGAGCAGAAGGAAGAGCGCAGGCTGGAGTTACAGGAATTTCTGAGGTCACAGGAAGAGCAGGAGCAGGAGTTTTGGCAGGATGTGGCGGATGAAATACGGTTGCAGAGTGAGGCTGTGGAGGAGGAGGAGGAGGAAGAGGGCAGGCTGGAGTTTCAGGAGTTTCTGAGGTGGTAGAAGGAGCAGGATCAGGAGTTGCAGAAGGATTAGCAGGATAAAATAAGGTTGCTGTATGAGGCTGTGGAGGAGAAGGGTGAGGAGCGCAGGCTGGAGTTTTAGGAGTTTCTGAGGTCGCAGGAGTAGGAGTTTTAACAGGATGTGCAGAATGAGATGCGGTTGGAGATTTAGCAGCAGGAACTTTGATAAGAGATACAGGATGAGTAGCAGCAGTTAAAAAAAGCAAGATGTCCTCGCTTCAGTCTGTAGCATAATTATGTACTGGATCAGATCCAATTCGTAGTGGACATTGTAACGCAAACTATGGTAATACCCATGCTACTAAGATAGTTGGGTTTAGGGTTAGGGTAGGAGTGGAGGTTAATAACTGTAAGGGTAGGGCTTAAGTGTAGACTTTAATAACGTGTAAATAAGTAATGTGAGGGTTGGGTTAAGGTTGGGGGAGGTGTAGACCAGGGGTGCCCAAACTCTGTCCCATAGAAGAAGATCCAGGACATGGCTTGGAGACCTCTGGTATAGATGTTAATAACTGAGGGTTGGGGTAGGTGTAGACTTTAATAACTGTAAGGGTTGGGGTTGGTGTAGACTTTAATAACGGAGAGTTTGGTTTGGGGGTAGTTGTAGAAGTTAATAACACATAGTGTAATAGGTAAGTTCATAATTAATTAAAACAATTATTGTTTCTAGGAACAAATTCTCGCACACACCTCCACTTTATATCGGACCTGATCATTGAGCTGCAGGCACTAGTCAATGCTACAGCCTACCCAGTGTTGTGCTCTCTGTAACCTTCATGTGTAGTCCATAAATCAGACTAGAGCCTCCACTATAAGTTGAGCATGAAGCCTGAAATGGAGTCTGTTTGCTGAATGGCGTGCATCTTTCCAAGACCCCCAAAAAAGAGCGGAGGGCAGTATTTTGATGTCTATTTTCACATAATAAACCTGAACATGTTATACGCACGAACAAATCTGTAAACAAAAGCAGCGTTCAGTCCCATTCACAGTACTTGTCATTTCTGAAACAGTCATATTGTTAGCAAGCATCTGAGACAGGCAACTAAAGACGGCAGGCTTCTTTGCGATCCTACTTGTTTACTTGGATTTGTCCCTTGAGTTTTTCATTTCGAAATCTGATTCGTTGCTGAACAACCAAAGCACACTTTTTCGCTAACACCAATTCTGCATGCTGATTTGGCCAAACTTACCCCAACAACCAATGAAAGGTGACTTGTGGATCTTACTAAACAAACTAGCCAAATCAGTGCTTACCGATGGCTCAATGCTTTGTCCTGGCCTTTAATTTGCCAAAAAAAGTCAAGATGTCCTTGTTGCAGCCTGTAACCACAATGACATACTGGACCAGGTTCACAGATATTTTGTGTAAAAAATAAAATAATCATTCCATGTTGCACACCCTAATATCTACTATACAAAAATAGTGTCTTGTTATTATTCAATATTAATTTGTTGTTATGGGTTTTGTCATGTTTGTCTTTTAAGTGTTAATGCATCAACTAATGTCTACCCATGAGACATTTTTAAAGTGTTACCCATTTCAATTTAGAACTCTTTTTACAATTTAATTAGTTTTAAAAGTTTGTTTTCTCTGAACATTTATGTTTAATATTAATACACAGAAATGCAATGTTGAGGTTGTTAATATTCCTGTTAAAGTAATTCTGTTTTTGCACGTTTTTGTATCATGATTACGGCATGCCTGATATTAGAATTTTTAATTACATTGCAGTATTTTGATTTGCTGCCATTTATATTGGGTTTTTTCTGTCTTTTTCCACTTGGCAGCAGTAATAACGACTGGAAACATTGTTTAAAACGAAATGAACTGAATGAATGAAATGATTCCTGGAGGGCCGCAGCTCTGCAGAGCTTTGCTCCAACCCTAATAAAACACAACTGATCCAACTAATCAAGGTGTTCAAGTCTAGTGGAGACCATTAAGCAGGTGTGAGTTGGAGGTGGTTGGAGCTAAACTAAGCAGAGCTGCGGCCCTCTAGGAATTGAGTTTGAGATCATTTTGTTTACTGAAACAGGAGCGAAACTCTGAAACACACACTGAGTCAGTTTCCAATGGTCATAGATATATACACTAGGATCTTGAGCATGTGTCAATATCGCCGCCATATTTGTACAGTGCTCCCATTACAAAAGTAATTCAACCGCATTAGTCAAGGTTAAAAGATGCTGGACTTTAGTGCTGTGTACAGGTGTAGTAATGAGCAAACAAAGAAAACAAAGCAAAAGGCAGAACATTCCATAGGTATGATTTCGTTTTTTTATGATTTCGTATGTTACAAACTTTTATGCTCAAGTAACGTTATTGATTATAATGCAGTCACCTATTGCTCTGACCATAAGGCAAAGTAGCACCAACTTGCACTAAATTTTAGGTTTATGATAGTTTTGTTGAATAAAATCAGCAAACAATTAAAGTAAAATATGACAAGACGCTGCGGTGCCAGAAACATTTATTGTCGGCTATTTGAAGTAACGGCTAGTATTTAAAGTAACTTGATAAGGGTGACTGATAATATAAGTGTCTGCGCCTCAATGGTTATGCTTTCCACCCTAAATTATTGAATATTACAAATGTTATATACTATTTATATTAGAAAGACACAGGGATATTGATGGTTCCCTCACACAAGACGCGGAATGCGCGGATAAATCACGATGTTCGCATGTAAATAGCCGCCAAATAGCGTCAAATTCACTTCAGATCAGACGCGGATTTGCGTGATGGGCTGGGCTTCTGTCTGCCTGGTGACTCTAGCTTCGTTGCTAAACATGGATTTTATAAAGAAAATAACAGTGTTTGTGTTTTATGAAGGCTAAAAAACAGCGTCGATAGGTGCGTTCGACTTCATGCAGCGCTGCGCAGATCGATCGAAATCAGTCTTAAAGCGGTGCATGCTGGTTAGAAATCTTGTCCGGATTGATGCTGCGCCGACGCCACGTGACTGTCACATGTGGCATCAAAGTACCGAGATCAGCGCTCTGAGATCAGACGGCTGATTCAGACCATGCAGTATCTGAAGAGCAGCTGCAGGAGCTCTGATGACGACACCGATATTACACGATTGGCCGAGTTCACCACATGACAACAAACACGTGTATTTCGGGTTTATAATTGGACAAATTCCGATTCAAAAGTTTCAAAACAAACAATTCACTTTTCACACCCTCTCTATCCTGTACACATCTTGCTTATTAAAAGACTACAAATATTTTACTGCAGTAATCATCTTTTGTTAAATAATCTGGTTATAAAGGTTAGCTTGTTTTTTCTTTTTATACAGACTATTTACTGCATTCATCTCCATGAACGATTTAAATGATATATTTTAGTGTATATTTTAGTGAATAACCTAAATATGAACTCAAATAAGTCTTACAGACTTGAAATAAAATAATAATCATCATTGATCCTGCCACCCTAAAGCTCTCTTAACAAATTAAGTTAAAGAACTATTATATTAAATAATTATAAAATGGTTTTATTATTATAATATAAATATATATTTTATTTTCTGTCTAGCAGTTTAAAGGCTACCTGCTCTTTCTGGGAAACTTCTACATCGCTCACTTATTTTACCTTTTGTTCTTTTCAACACAATCTTTTTGGATTAAAATGCTTTTTTTGAAAATTCATTCATTAAACAAAATAATGTCATTTATTAAGACCTAATCAAAACACCTTGTTTTGCTTTTTACATTGGAAATTTTTATATCTATAAATGTACATATATGTAAACCCTTTTTTAGCATATTCAAACAAGAAGTATTAGCCTAAAGATTGATGTTTAACGCCTACAATGTATGCTTATTGCTTTGTATTTAATAGACCTGTTCGTTTTTATGTTTATATTACCCTCTCGTTTCCTTTTATTTCTCTCATGCATTTGTTATATATTTTATTCATAATTCTCCCTCATTGTTTAAAAAGGAACTACAGTTTATAGAGACTGTATTCTGTTTTATTTGTAAATGTTTTGTTGTTATAAATAAAAATAACAAAAAATATATAAAAAAATATGATGACGCCATGTGATCGGTCATCATGACTGCAGCAACTTTGAGTCCCGAAGTGTCCAGCTGTCCGTCTTGACGGCTCCGTTTTCAACTCCGCCCCCGCATGCGCTCGGCTAATCTCGTTGATCACCGGCTGCAGCTGAGCTTCATGTCGAACGCACCTGATATGTTTAAGGTCGTGTCTAAGTCCACTAGATCCTTTCAGAGGTGCATCCAGCTCTATAAGCTCATAAACTCCTCCAGAAACCTAACCTGGATGATAAAGGCTTTCAGCGCTGCGTCTGACTGAGCCCAGCCCAGTTTGATGAACTTCTTGTCGGTGTCGGCTGGAGGATTTCCTCCAGGACACTCACAACAGGCGATACGTGACAATAACGACCCCACAAGAGCAAGCTCCTGATTGGTTGACGCGGCGCAAATGTCCGCTGAAGTTCAGATTATCGAACTCAAGTGATTCACATGAAATGCTCAATACGCGACGCGCCATTCGTACCCCACCATTCGCGCAATTCGCGTCAATCAAGTCGTGCCATTTGCGTGTATCGCGTCGCAGGATGTCTATTCGCATGTTTGCATTGACTTAACTCGCGCTTGACGCACGTTCCGCGTCTGGTGTGAACGCAGCATTAGAAGTGAAAGCAGGAGAGGGGGTGTTTCAGGACATGGATTAGATCAAATTTAAAAAGGAGGGAGGATAATACAAGCAATGCACCAAGCTGTCCATTATCAATCAATATAGAAAATAAATGTAATATTATAATTTTCGTAATTTAATAAAATGTTTAATAAAATATTTACATACTGACCAATCATAGATGTGTGTATATATCTATGGTTCTGGATGGCCAGTCCTTTACAGCACCTTGGCCCCACATTAATTTCAAAGGAGCGTTACCCTGTACCAAAATGGCGGCTCTATTGACAAATTCCTTCCAATAGGCAAACAGCGTAGGTGACATCTTGTAAATATCTATGGCCAATAGTTACAGGCTTGCTCTAAGTAGCACTAAGGAATTCTGTTCTTAAAGCTGTACAGCATTTAGAAGATGTCAAAGTAAATATTTCATATTATGACAATAAAACAATAAATGAAACCTGAACGAATCACTCTTACTGTCTCATATCAATTTAAATCAACATTGTTAATTCACAAGATAACCTGAATGGCTATATTAGGAAAGAATTAATAATTTGAGTGATGAAGGATGATTTTTTGTTCATCTCTATAAAATATAATAAACAAATTACAAGGGAAATGGAGATAAACAGAGCAAATATATGAATGGAGTCTAACAGTATGTACAAATACAGACATAAAATAATCAAAAAAACAATAAAGCTGTTTAAATAATTACATACACTGCAAAACAGTTTCTACACCAAATATCAAAAAAATCTTGAAGTAAAAAATATTTTTCATTTTGACATACGATTGTTGTTTACCCCAGTGGTTCTCAAAGTGGGGGTCGGGACCCCCCGAGGGGTCGCAGGGCAATGAAGGGGGGTCGCCTGGTGATTTCCAAAAATCTATTTATTTTTATTAAACCATAAGAATTACCATATTTTATCCATAACTATACTGAAAATAAAAATAGTCATTTATAGTTACTATATACTACATAGTTACTATAGTAGCTTATAGTTACTAGTTTTATTGGATTGCGACCCTTGGGGTAATTACATTATATTAAAGGCAGCAATAGCGTCAGATGCATTTTGATTTTATAACATCAGGTTATACTTTCTGGAACATTTAAAGCACTGACACAAATTTAATTGGTGCGTCTGCGTCATTGCATGCAAGGTTTCTGTATTTTTAACCACCTCAGAGGATATTGGGGGTCGCGAGTCACTGGCATTGTTATTTTGGGGGTCACGGAGTGAAAAGTTTGGGAACCCCTGGTTTACCCCATTAAGGACAAACTTTGGCATATTATTTCTGAAAAAAATACATCATTTTTTTTTTTTTTGCTTGTCTAGAAAACGCTTCTTGAGGTAAGATTTTTATTTATTTTTTAGATATTTGGACTATGAACAAGACCAAAATTCTAACCCAGATAGCATACAAATGTGGGCCACTTTAGGCAAATATTTGCCACAGTAAGCTCTGGCTAATGCGGCCGTGACCCTAATGTGACCCAGAGAAGAAATGACAAATGTTGGCCCAGTTATCTTAAAACATATGTGGACCAGATAGACTAATCATCATCATGGAGAAAAGTGTTCGCTTTAGTTGGGCTTATAGCCCTGAACCTCTCAATGTATTTATTTATTATTTTTTTGGGCTGCTGTAACTTTAAAGAACTCTGCTTGAAAAATTAATTAATTATTGCAAACAAGCCAATTAAACAACAACAACAACAAAATGAAATAAAAAAATGAAGCGAGGCACAACCTGTAATGAAATAACATTATTCACTGATGTTAACCAATGTTTAATCCATTATTAGAAGTAACGTAATAACATGCTTGTACATGCCACAGAATTATGAAGGTTTATAAGCAAAAAAAAGTTTCTGTTGCTCAACTTCTGCTCACAGAGACATCAATAATCAGTGTATGAACCTCAATAATGGTGACAATTAACAAAATGAACAAAACTCACAAACAGGAGACGACAAGTGACAAAATCAACAACGTCAACATAAACAGCAGAATCAACAGCAGATAATGAAAACTGGAGTATAATGTATTCATACTGCAATGCATGCTGGGATTTTTGTACTTTGCCACACCCGGCAAGTGTAAGGTGTGGGCCAGATCTGGGCCAGAATAAAAGCAAACTGTGGCCCAGAATAGGGTCAGTTCTGGTTCATTTGGTTCATTTCTGGCTGATATGTGGTATTGCTTAGGCTTATTTGTGGCC